GTGAAGCAGTCCCGAAATTAACACGTCCTTACAGTGGCAACTATATGCGTCACCCGATTTAATATCCAGTAACTGTACTTAGCGCGTAAAGTGCATTGTGGATTTCGTATGATTCCCAGAGCGAACAGCAATTATTTCCGTAAACAGAATTTTGTTCTTAAAACAAAACTATGCAAATAAGGAAAGTCATTTGCTCGAATTCGTGTAGGATATGCTGAGAATGTTGAAGTCTTCTGCAAATCTGCTGATGAAGAAGAATTGAAAAGTGTATCTGGTTTTCTCATGTGGTTGATGTTTAAGTATCATTATTAAAGACAAGTTTTAACGCACAAGACTAAATCCTTATTCTTAATTAGGGATTTTACAGACGTGTGAAACTCAATCACTTCAGTCGTAACCACAAACAAACACTGCTTTCGGCTGACTATGGCCATGACGGGCAGCATGCAACAATACTATATTCAGTCAGAATCACGTGGTAGCCGACGTAACTTATATCAGTGTACATATATATAGGCAAGTATATATAATTGCCGTGTACGTGTAATTTTCAGTGTCATTCACAAAAGTTTCCTTAACAGCGGCACAGAAGACGAAAGGAACAATTGAATCACTTCGTTTTGATCATGTCATTGTGGCGGTCGAGAATATAAGAAGGGAAAATCGTAATGTTCAAGTTCAGTTTTTAATAACTACGGCATTCATGTACTCAGCACATCTTTGGGCATTTTTCATGTTTTCTAAAATAATTTATTACAGAAGTTCTGTACTCTTAAGTAATTTCGTAGTTCGAAAGGGAACATACGCAGATAAGATTAGTAATATTTTGTAACCGGTGATGTGACTGCGATAACTTTTTTAAATATCATTTTCAAAGTGCACGTTCTGAGCTACTGATTTTGAGGTTTTAGTTGTTGGATTTGTGTTAGCGTTGACGATGTTTTTATCAGGAATTGTGCTTGCTTTATGCATTAACAGTCTTGTATATGTAGGACGAGCTGCGTCGTTTAATAATCTGACGAATCACAGCATTAACGATGCCGGCGTCTCGGATCTCCTGTTGTCCACAGTGAGTACCTGCTTATATTTCGGATTTGACAATGTGAGGGAAAATATATGCAGGGAGGAAGGTAGTTTCGTCATAACTTTTGTAGGCAACATTAAATAAAGTCCTGTATAAATCATAAGATCTCCCGTACGGCGTTCATAGTTACTAGTGTTCCTGTATTTAACAATTTCATACCAACTTTTACGAAACCAGAGACATTTACATCTGTAAATAATATCGCTAAAAACTGCGCTTAAGTCAAATAAGCTCCCATATAAGGGAATCTGCGTAAATGATCACGATGTAGTGTGTTATTTTTGTTAATTTCTGATAAATATAGCACGATTAAATACGTGTTCTTTTTTCCTGTTGTGGTGGAAGCATCGCTACAATGTCGTCTGCATTACGGCTTTAAGTGGTAAGACCGCCAAGGAAAATGGTTTCTACTTTAAAGTATTTTTATATGCTTTATACTCGTTTGAGAAGATTTTTAATATTTTTGTGTTGTTAATTGTTGAATTATAATTTTTAGTGTACTATTAGAATACAAATATTAATTCCAGGAAAAATGACTTTGTCTGGAAGCCACATCAATTCTATTCAACCCATGTGTTAAGATTATCGTGGCTAAAATACATACTATTAGGAAATCTAAGTAGGCTAGGATATTATTATTATTATTATCCCATGTATTCACCACTTTATGGGGTATGTACTTCCATGTACCCGAGACAGACCTTGTCCCTAAGGTACATAGGGCAGCGGCTTTAGAGTGGTTGGAAAGAGAGAGTGTTGTAGAGAGGTTGGAAAGGGAGAGTGTTAGAGTGAGGTTGTATTGTGGAAGAGTGTTGAGGAGAGTGTGAGTCAGGATGTAGAAGTGAGTTGCCAGCGATATGCTGTTGCGGACATTGGTGGAGTCGAGTGAGTGGAGCCAACGAGAGGTCTGGTGCGACGCCGAGTTAAATGTAGCGTGGGTCGGCGTTGCGACCTTGGATTGTCAACCCTGATTTATTCACGTCAAATTAAATCAGATACAGAGGTCTGCACATGCAGTCATCTCTCTACAACAACAACACACTCGAGTCTCTGTGCGCACACACACACATTCTCTCGCTCTGTCCATCGAGTCTATCTGGTCCCCGAGCTCCGCTCTTCACACTCTTCTCCTACACGTCGGCCCGTAGCACCCCACTGGACACACGCTGGCCCCTCGGCCGCCCCGGTCCACGTACCCGGTGCCTGCTCACGCAGCCGACCCGTCCATACTCGGCGTCGGCTCGTAGCACCCCACTAGTACATAGGGCAGCAGCTATTTCCGGGATATTATTATTATTATTATTATTATTATTATATTACATTCATTTTTCTTCCCAGATTAAATTAAAAATAACGAACCAAAACTACAGCACACAGCGATAATGAAACAACATTTCAGTTTCTTTGCGATTCCTGAAAAATTCTTACTTTTGATAGAATTATTTCTGCATTTTAAAAACTCATTTAACCATTTTCATGGTTGATGTCTTGATATGTAGGTTTTATGCCGAGAAGGTTATTTCAATTAAAATATGAATCAAAGAAACACATGGGACGACCCAAAAGACGATGGTTTAGCCAGTTACTAGAAGACGACGAAGAGAGGAAAGATTTGACATGAAATCGAAAAGTGAAGACTTAAGATTATGCATTTCTTTCCCAGCCTGAGCTGATCTGGAAATATGGTTACCCAGTAGAGAAACATGTTGTGCAAACTGAAGATGGATACCTGCTTACACACTTTCGTATTCCCCATGGACGGTCCGGTGCCACTACAAGAGGGGGGCGTCCAGTCATCCTCCAGCACGGAATATTAAGTGCCTCTGATATATGGATCCTTATGGGACGAGAGAAATCCCTAGGTAATGGCAGATTTTGTTTTATTCTCATTGACTTTCAATAAACATAAAATAAGTTAAATTAATAAGATCCAAAATTCTTATTTTTCTGCTTCTTTCAGAACGTTTAACCAGATAGTATGCTTATTTCCATCAGCATATTACCTTCATTGTTATACACTGTGAAGTTTCGTCGCAGTTTACGATAAGTTACATTATTTTAGAATACTAGTCATTCAAAGCAAGCACAGACAACATAATTTATGTTTTGAATGATACCTTTCTTAATTTGTTCATTTATAACATTCTGCCATACGGTCGGTCTGGTTTATGAATTAGTGATTAGAAATTATTATGTATTGAGGTATTATGTCTAGACTAGATAAACATGTTAGAACAGGGAGTCAAAGAAACAGACAGAAAATATTTCGTGTAATAATATATTGACATTTGATGCATAAAATTAATAGAAGCAGATTTCTGTCTTCTGGGTTGTTGCGCCGTGTAGTATGGTAGATGTTAACCAATGTTTCTGAGGTCATACTGCCTCCGTCATCAGGGTGATTCATCGTTGGTTAACATCTACCAGACTACACAGCGTAACAACCCAAAAGACGGAAATCTTCATACTCGCCGCTGTTAAAACCTCAAATCTTACTTAATAGAAGCAGTCAATTTTTGGGAAGGAGATAACATATGATAGAATTAGCTAAAATAACAAATTTTAACTTCCTTCCTGGTCTTTTTCATATTAAATTTAATTTATAATACTTTACCAAAACAGAAATTTACATCTGACAGTCGCTGTCACTCCAGTCATCACTTTGATTACGTAATCGCTTCATTTTTAAACGTTTTGTGGATTATGTGACATTCTTCAGCAAACAGCTGACTTGCCAATTCACATCAGTATTCTCAGGATTATTCAACTCTTCATACTTCAGGATTCATTCTGGCAGATGCTGGCTATGACGTTTGGTTGACAAACATCCGAGGAAACAGGCACTCGCGGAAACACGTGACCTTATCACCTGACAATGCCAAGTTTTGGGATTTCAGGTGGGTTTAATTCCTTTTTCAATACAAGCAAAGTATCTGATTTTCAGCTGCAAGTTGCAGTTTTTCGTTGTGTATTTTGAATTAATAAGTACTTAGAGAAAAGTCACAAACATCTGCCTCTTTTTGTAACACGATGTGCCATATACTGCTCCTGTTACTTTGATCATTCATTAGCTTTTATATTAATATACCTTAAACGCAAAAATCCTCAGCACGATGCACTTCTTAGGTATTGTACAATAAATTATTATATTATCTTTATTACAGTTGGCATGAAATGGGATACTTCGATATTCCAGCTACAATTGACCATATCTTTGCTACTACAGGACAGAAGGTATACTACATTGGTCATTCAATGGGTACTACCATATTGTTTGTGATGACTTCAACCCGACCCGAATACAACGAGAAGTTAAGGCTAGCGACTGCTCTTGCACCCGTTGCTTTCCTCTGGAATCTACGCCATAGACTTCTAAAACCCCTGATTCCAGTCAGCAGACAGATAGGAGTATGTTCCTTAGCTTTTATGTGTGTTTGTGTGTGCAACGTTTCAGAGGTACTTGCTGCCTCCATCGTTATGGTAATGAGTTGTTGGTGGCAGCAAGCAGCTCTGAAACACTCATAAACTTTTACGATGCTACAGCGCACTACAACCCAGAAGACCTCAAATCATACAAAATAATTTTAAATAAGATTTGAGGTTTTCACAGCAGTGAGTATGAACATTTCCGTCTTCTGGGTTGTGGCGCTATGTAGTCTGGTCGATGTTTACCAACGTTTCAGAGGGCATACTGCGATTCATCGCCCTGATGACAGAGGCAGTATGACCTCAGAAACGTTGGTAAACATCGACCAGACTACACAGCGCAACAACCCAGAAGACAGAAATGTTCATACTCATCGCCCTGATGATGGAGGCAGTATGACCTCTGAAACGTTGGTACACATCGACCAGACTACACAGCGCAACAACCCAGAAGACAGAAATGTTCATACTCATCGCCCTGATGATGGAGGCAGTATGACCTCTGAAACGTTGGTACACATCGACCAGACTACACAGCGCAACAACCCAGAAGACAGAAATGTTCATACTCATCGCCCTGATGATGGAGGCAGTATGACCTCTGAAACGTTGGTACACATCGACCAGACTACACAGCGCAACAACCCAGAAGACAGAAATGTTCATACTCATCGCCCTGATGATGGAGGCAGTATGACCTCTGAAACGTTGGTACACATCGACCAGACTACACAGCGCAACAACCCAGAAGACAGAAATCTTCAATTTAAAATAAGTTTGTTAAGTTAGCCTAACATTTTCCATTAAATGATACATGACCATATCACAGTACTTCCGTAATCATCAAATAATGAATCAACCACTGTATAAGGTTTCATGCAAAGTCTGGGGTGGAAATGTTTTCTTATTAGCACTTATCGTGAGTGCATTGTAGTAGCGTGGATCTACCACTAAACCATTAACTCCAGACTTAAAATCCAGTTGATAACCACTTAGTACAGGAAGTAAAATCTCCTGTCCCCTTATGATAAAGGTTAATAAGAAGTAATGTATTGTGTTGCTTTGTTCTAAGTGTACATTTTGATTGAACACTGGTTGTGGCTGTTAATTTAAAGAACATTCGCATTTCACCTGCATGTGTCATTATATACAAGTAGGTCAAGATTCAAATTCATTCTCTTGCTAAGGTGAAAAATTAAAATAATCATAAAATTTTGAATATAAAATTACATAAACGTGTTGTCTCTGTGGTAGCCTTGACCATACAATAAAAATTATAACCATCGTATTTAAATGAATATTTGTGTTATTTTTTTATAGTATGCACTGGAACAAACAGGAACGTGGGAATTATTTCCATACAGCACAAAATTTGCAAATTTCGTAGGACATCTGTGTCATGATGGGGCTCCTACACAGCTACTTTGTGTTCTAGCGTATTTCTTGGCCTATGGAGATGATAGTGAACGAGTGAACAAGGTATATTATCAGATAATATTTGGTTATAATTTAGACTTTTCGATGTAGAACAGAAATGTATAAATGTTAACCTGACCAAGAGTTAATATTTAACTTCTGTACAATGTACGAGTAAACTGAGTTCACATGGACTGACACGAGATAAAGAAGTCAAGAGCACTAAAGGAGACTAACTCTTTTTATCTCCTCTGTAACATTTAAATGTGGATATTTACAAACCATTCCACCATTTTTTATCTTTAAAAAGTCACAAACCTACTTCCATTTCAAGCTTTACTAGATAGAAATATTTCCTTTTCTGGAAGCTGATAGTCACTCAAGTGGTAGATGCATCATCTTCTTCACAAGAAACCGCCATTGGACCCTATTGATCCTATCCTGAGCCAGCTGAATTCAGTTACCATCTTCACACCGTCCCTCCTTAAGATATATTTTTATATTATGCTCTCAGTCATATTTATTTCAAGTGGTAACTTCACTTCAGGTTTTCTGATAAAAATTAAATCTTCCATTGTACCCTATTTTCACAGTATGTAACAGAAAGAAGTGATAAAAGAAATAAAGTCAAGGAATTCAACGTTGTCTTAAAGAAGCAAAAAAAAGTGCCTGTTCAGCTGAGAGGGTGTGAGAAATATGGATCAATGAACAGATTTTCTAACATAATTCCCCACCTGACCAGATGTTATAAATGCTTCTTTGTGATGTCTGCAGACTCTGCTGCCTATTTACTTCTCTCATCTTATCGCTGGAACTTCTGCAAAATCTGTTGAACACTACGCACAAATTGTAAGATCAGGTAAGTGACAACGCATGAAACTAATGATATATCAAAAATATTTAATCTCTTAGTTCATGACAGCACTCTGTTACACATTTTATGATGCTTAATTCAGAATCTCAAACTAAAATTGTTCTGAAATGGACCATAAAACTTGGTTTGGCATTTTCAAAGAATCTCATTACAATGTTGTCTCACTTATATGCAGACTCTCTTCTTCTTCTTCTATGGCTCTCCAGTCTGTATTCGGTCCATGGCCTCCTCAGTTCTTCTCTTCCATTCGCTCCTCTGTTAGGTCCGTCTGTCTGAGGCTTTGATTGAGGTTTCAAAACATCTTCCTTTTTACAGTGCAAGGTTGTTAGCCTTGCGACCAACCCCCAACCTGGAGGATCAGGGTACCTGTCTTAGTCTGACTCTCCCCCTCGACCAATCTGGCTAGGGAGGCCCTACCAGTAGCTATGCTACCGCCAGCATAGCTATGCAGACTCTCAATATGGATAATTACAGGCAGCAAGGCCCCTATATAATGCAGTTATGACACAAAATATTCACTTCTTTTCCTCAACTTCTGAGAGTATGTCAAATTGGTTAACGCTTCTGTTCATACTGAGGAGGTGCTGAAACCAAATCTCTGCTGTGTGATGATTGAAATTTCTATGAATGTTATCAGTCCCTCCAGGAGAAGGCACAGTAGAAGAATGACAATGTTGACTATATAAATATTTCATACATGTTATTTACTGCTTATATAGTGATTTTGTTCCTCCTCAAAATACTGAACATTACAATGAGTATTTTATTTCTTTCTGTATCTTTTTCAGGTAAATTTCGGGAATTTGATTATGGACCAACAAGGAACATGGTACATTATAGACAAACTGAACCTCCCAACTATAATCTGAAGAACATAACTGCACCTGTAGCCTTATATTATGGCACAGGAGATCTACTTGTCAGTCCAGAGGTGAGTTAATCAGAAGTGTCTTGTCATATTATAAATTCCACCAGAATATTGTTTAATGTACCAGTATGCTAATGTTTCCAGTTCTTTATGTTATTATTAAATTTAAACAATTTTATCCCATGTAAGATTTGAGGTTTTCACAGCGGTGAGTATGAAGATTTCTGTCTTCTGGGTTGTTGCGCTGTGTAGTCTGGTACATGTTAACCAACGTTTCAGAGGTCATACTGCCTCCATCATCAGGGCGATGAATCGCAGTATGACCTCTGAAACATTGGTTAACATCTACCAGACTACACAGTGCAACAACCCAAAAGACAGAAATCTTCAATTTTATCTCAGTACCATAAATGAAATAATCTGCTTTTCATTTAAGTTATAAATTTATAGTCAAAAGCAATAGGTACACATGCACCCCTGTAGTTCTCAAAGAAGAATCCTGTGTAGTTTACTCCATGTAATGATTTTAATGTCTGTTTTCTTCCATTCCCTCTAGGTCTTCCTCACTTCTTCCTCTTAATCCTCCCTCCTATTCAATTCATCCCACTAATTGATGTCAGAACTCATTTGACCTGAGTGTTTATACACCAACATTTAAATAAAATGTGAATAGTTCATTCCACAGTTAAAGAATAATATCAGTGTGGAAGAATATCTGTTTTTAACAAGACATAGTTGGTCCATATCTGCATAAAACACTGGTACATACCCCATGTATTTTCTTATTTGTATATTTATGATTTATGCCACATGCTTCATAGTTATGGTATAATGTTACTCAACAGTAAATATTTTCAGTCTTTTTTTTTTCCATTTCTTTTAGTAGTCAAAGTATTCTGCATGGTAAGGCCTGATTCTTTCTCATTTCTGATAGAAATATTCCATTTCACCTAAATTTCAGGAACAACAATATTGAACTAAATGTTATAATTAGAAGTCAATTTATGTTCAAGCTGAGTATTCAAATAGTGGATGTATTAAGAAATTCTCCTTTATTTTGATAATAATAATCTTAGATGAAAGGGCAGTTAAGTTGTTGGTTATAAATGAAATGAGATTTACTGTCTGTAATCAAATTCAATTTTATGATATCCTTGACTATAAAATCTATCATTCCATGTCTGCTGTGTGATTGCAGGGTGTCCGACACCTGTCAGATCAGTTACCTCATCTGGTGGGTATGACACGAATTCCACCTCCAAAGTTCAATCACATAGATTTTATATTGGCAAATGATGCTAAGCATCTTGTCTTTGACCGTATTCTGAACCTTATGACTGTTTACTGATGACACTGGATAAAAAGATTTTAAAGGGGGGGGGTTCTGGATATTTAATGTCCTTTATAGACTTTGAGCCAGTAATACCAAATATGTCGACAAATATTCTGTAGCATATAGGGTTTTTCTCTCAGAAATAAGCAAATAAACTTCCTAATGTTTAGGAATTTAGAGCTTCTATTTACTATAATGCTAGAGCTGATGGAGAAAATGCAATTGTAAATGTTTCTTTACTTTCTCTTAGGATAATATGTAACACATTAAAGGCAAATAAATCTGTAACAAATTGTTTCCACATTTATTTACTTTTAACACTATGTAACAGAAATGGAAACTGTACATAAATTGTTTCCCTTTTTATTTGCATATGTACCTAATTGCAGCTTCTCTCTTACATTTCCAGCATAGTTAGATTCTATTTTCCCTGGTAGTGTTTCTCCACAGTAGAAATATGTTGAGATCTTTCACCATGCCTATTACTGATGCATCCAAGGTTTTTGGAAAAGTATTTGTGTGAGAATGAAGTATGTTTTCAATGACATGTTTGGCATAATTCTGTAAACTTCAACATTTGTTATAAACCCCACAAGGCTGTTATCTTCATGGTAATAAAGACAAGGTTGCAGAGCCTTTCGAGAGATCATACTCTAGTTATCCAATTATTTGAGACATTCATCCTATATACTGTATTAAAAGACAGCACTTTCCAGAAGAAGACATTCAACAGCTGATATATTCCACTGAAATAGGTTGTTGAAAGAAGAAAATAATATAATCAAGAGACATCCAGCTTTCAGAGAGTCAGAAAAATATTTTGGGTGTGTAGACACAAGGTATAGCACATAATGAGACTGGATATCCAGATCATGTAAAGCATAGCAATGAATGTTCAAGTATTGGGACAAACATTTCTATCCACAGAACATGCCTGGTAAAATAATTGTGAAAGTAGTGATAAATGAAGGTGTTTGGCAAGGTTCTATATAGTTTGTCTTGTTCTCCTTTAAACATATATTTATATATAATCATAGAATAGAAAAGGAGGGTAGCTCCTGGAGTATTGTTTGGAATGAAGATCCTCTAAACATTTTATTGGATAAAGATAATTAAGTCATCATCCAAGAAACCAAAGATCAGTTTCAGAGGTAGTTTTTAGGTTATGAGAAATATGCAATGAATAAAATTTTAGATTTTAGTGCTGAAAACTAAAATGATGGCTGATACAGGAAATGACTGGCAGAACAAATGTTCTACTACAAGATAATGTAACAGAACACTTTGGATACACGAAATATTCTGACTGTGAAGTTATGTGATAGTGAAAGACATAACAAGTAAATTACACGTTTTTCATGCTTCATTTGGTTTCATCAAATATGACAGAAATGAAATGTTATGGCTGGACAATAATTATTGTGTGGAAATAAAAGGAGAGTCAGAAGAATGACGTGTAGGAGTACAATACAGGCAGCAGTTTTTAATACACAGAGAATGTAATGGGCAAAATAAATTGAAAAATAAAAATCTCCAGAGTAATATGTATTAGAATCACATAGCGAAACAATTTTAAAATATAAATAAAATTGTTGAAAATCCTTGCACTTTGACAGCAAAGAGAAGTTAAAACAATAGTTTACATGATCGCAGACAGCAAAGTCCAAAGATTGTATCTGCTACAGAGAAGAGAAATTAACATGCATTTCCAGCACGAACGATCTTCGATCGTTGGAACCAACCAGGACGAAGCTGTACATATTTATGAGCATTATAGTCTGTGGTCATAGATAACCTTTGGCGAAGCAATATATCGAAGTTGGGAGGTGTGTGACCGTAATATTTGTTTTATTTTATTCCTGTTTATCAAAGTTTGTATGATGTGAAACCGTTCACTATGTTGCGAAGAATTGGTATGAATTTGCGTAAGAAGCCTTTTGCAGAAATTACAGTTCGTAAGTAATTTGCTGTATAATGCTTGGTTAGTTTATGCTACGAGCTGTATATACGTAAGTAGGTTTATTACTGCCACAGGTTGGTCATTGAAGTGCTTGAGGTAATGGAAGAAACAAATTTACAACAGTGGAGACCACACTTTGATACCTCAGTTCCTGAGTTGTTTTGTCAGACTGAACTGGGAGCTAGTTTAGTTTGCTAAACCACTATCTTGTTGACTGAGGTTGTACTGCTACTTAACAAAGAACACTTATTGATTCTTTTGTTTTAGAATGCAGGTGTGCAACACTTCAAGGAAATGCCGAAGCAAAGCACAGAAGAAGTCTGTTGTTCACCAAAGAAAAGGAACGACAACAGAAAAATATAGGAAGGATAGAAAAAATTGAAGTACAGTATGTGGGGACTCCTGAAGATGTAACGTTAATGATGAACAAGGGCATCTCTACCCCATTTAATTGTGCCCAACGTAAACATTTTATTAATCCCTTCATACTTTATGTGTATATTTTTCCTTGGAAACGAAAATATATTTTACAAATATACACATGTGTTACAGACATGTCTGAGATGCTTATGCAGCGTTCAGCATTGGCCCTGATAGATGACACAACGCTGTGGGATATGAATCGTCCATTGGAGGCTGATTGCCAGCTCCGACTCTTACATTTCAGAGATTCTGATCCATACCACGTGAACAAAGCTTTCTGGAGATCTTGTTCTATGCTTCTAGGAGCTTTAGCTGAAAATGTCTTCAGAGAAAATATTCATGTTGATCTACATAGTTTTCCATCACCAACTGGTTTGTTGCCATTTTTGCCTTATTATATTGAGTAAGGATGAGAGAAGCATGGAGAATATAAATGTTTAGGAAATTATACACAAGACTAGGGAGTCATGCTCATCATGCTTTACCTTGCATTTTGGAGAACAACAGATAATATTCCATGGATAATTATGTTAATAATTAATCTTCCTTATTTTCTCAGCCATTCCAGACTAAATGAGACAGCTGAAAATCTTAAATATTATTATTTGGAATTTCCTGTTTCATCACTACTTCATTTATCACACACAGTTCTTACTGCTGTTATCATTGAAATGCTGAAGAGAGTTCTTGCATGTGAGAATGTTTGTGGCCAAGCTTGTTAATAGATCCTACTACTCTGAAACCCTCAGTGAATGCATGTTTCTCATATTGCTCTGTTTTTAACCTAGTTTTCTCAATGTAAAAGGAAAGACAGGCATATAGAATCATGACTGAGTGATTTTGTGTGTGTGTGTGTCTGTCTGACTGAGAAATGTTTCAAGCATTGGATATGTTTTATGAAACTTGTTATGAAGGCATTACCATTGTATTAGTGTGAATGAGATGAGAACATCGGTTCCATTTAATTTAGGGTCCTAAAATTTTGTATTGTAGAATTTGTAAATTATGAACATTTTGATAAGGTCATAATTTATAAGTTAATTTGGCAGCTGCATGGGTATTATATTTAGTTTTTCATTTCATAGTGACAACTAAGTAAATATTGCAGCTAAGAATATGAAATTTAATATGGAGACAGATTATAAATACAGATACAATTCCCAGCTTCTCATTTTAACTCCTGAAACTTCATCTTCTTTCCTTGTTTGAGATCGTCAGTTAGCTGTATCCGTCTTCTTCCCAGTCCTCGCTTTCCTTCAACCTGGCCTTCGATGATATCACTCAGTAATCCATTCCTTCTCATAATATGTCCCAGCCAGTTAGCTTTCCTTCGTGTAATCGCCTGCAGAATGTTTCTTTGCTCGTTGACTCTCCTCAATACTTCTTCGTTGGTCACTCGATCCGTCCACCTGATCTTCTCTATTCTTCTCCAACACCACATTTCAAAACTCTCCAGGTATTTCTGTTAGTAAGTCTACACAGCACTAAAATTCAGAAGAATTGTGTCAACATTCTACCTCAGTAAAAACTTCACATCTTACAAGTTAGGAAATGAATGCATATCCTGCGTATAATTACCTATTCTTGGTGTCCTCGAGTTGTTATGTGCACAACACAGCTAATAAGCTTTCCTCAGTGTTGATTTCCATTCCACACTCTACCTGTTTCCACTAACTTGTCCATCATGTTCTGTAATTCCTCCTCTTCCTTCGCCAATACTACTAAGTCGTCTGCATACTTTACAGTCGTTATCACTCTTCCTCCAATTTTGAAGTCTCCTGTTCCCTCCAGAGCTTCCTTGGCAAGCCATTCCCCGTACAAGTTAAAAAGAATTGGTGATAAGCAGCATCCCTGTCTTACACCTCTACCTATCTCAACACTGTTGGTGTCTCCTGAGTCCAGTCTCACTTTGACTAATTTATTCACAAAAATAGATACCTATATGTATTACAGATTTATAATTTCTGTTAGCCTCTTTACATAAATGGGAGTATTTAAAGGAAAGTAGGTATATAAGCTCTTCCTAAAACTTCTTATATTACTTTTGTTTCCACTTCTGCTTTCAATGTGTAAAGTGTTATTATTCTTTGTAAATGAAGCTCATGTGTTGTGTGTTTTTAAGAAGAGGAAGTGCTGAGGTACTATAGATAATTTGTTTCTTCCTTTCTTTGCAGTGAAGACTGGCAGTTTTGTATATGATGTGAACATAGGCCTAGATAATTGGCAGCCTGTGCAGGTGGGCATTTATGTGTGTTTGCGCACACATGTATAAAATGTGTCCAAATCATTGGACTGTATTATATTTTGCTGAGGCTCCAAAATATGAGGAATTTTTATTAATAACTGTTAAACTAGTGTCCATTAGTTAGTAGTTTTGTATTATTGATGTTGTATGTCTTTTAATGAATCCAATAGTCACAGAAAACATTTTGTGTCAGAATTATCTGGTATGTTGGCAGAAATATATGCATGTAAAGAGTACCTGCATGTTTTTATGTTGTTAGCAGAAATGAAATATTTTTTGGAAGTATTTATTAGCAAATGCATTTTTAATAGTGTATTGTGTAATAATTTGTAGACAAGAATGTGTTGTATATATTATACCTCTAATATACTCTCTGTTGTTCTTTGCCGCAGACGTAAAGTTTATCATTATGCATAGGTTATGCAACCAACATGTGTTATCACCATCAGTGGATGTAAATAAAGTTATGCTAATGTAAAATAATGCCATTTTGTTACATTTCCTGTGGAAAGTGTGATTAAATACACTTTTTTATCAGGAGGTTAGCCTCACAATATATTGGATGTATGTTGATAGCCATAATATATTTATAATTTCCTTTGCAGGATGAGCTCCGCATAATGTCTGCTCAGATGGTGAATTTGTGCCAGAAGAATCTCAAATTTGAGAGACTTGAAGTAAATATAGACTTGGCTCTAGAGATGTTTAAAGACAACAAATACAAGACAGAACAAATTCCACATATTGCGTCACAAATATCAGATAGTAAGCATGTAGATATGTTTATGATTTTTCATTCAGCTTTCATTTATCCACACTTTTTTATGCTTAGATTCTGAATCTGTTTTAAGCATGCAAAGTGAAAAAGTTGGTGTCTTGATTTGTAAAGCAACTTTGAAGCTAATCACAGCCACAATGGTACAAAGACTATACTGTACATAATTTTATTAATGTAAACTAGAAAGAAATGTTTCATAACATCAGAATATCAAACACTCTTTATTCTGTATAATTACAATATTAGGGGTTTTGGAGCCTGTAATAAAATTCATGAAGGCTCCAGCACATGACATGATGTATATATCATGAGAATTTCCATGAATGATGAGCTTTGTGTTAATACACTGCTATATTCTGACTATACACTCAACTTGTGGTTTTAAAGTCTTTCTTTATCTTGTGCTCAATATTACTGATGATTGTGTCAATTTTGACATGCAAGGAATGCAAGTATTTATAATTTTTTGTAGGAAAAACGGTAGTTTTATATCGTGTAGGAGACCATGTAGATTTGAGCAGAGGCCCCATGGTGGCGGACACCAGTTTTGTGGGGAAATGCACTGTAACAGCGGTAAGTATTTAATGTTTAGTCATTACAGCAAAAATATAACCTGTTTTCCTCTTTTATGATGACAGTTTTTTAGAAGTCAGGTTTACTTAAGTTACTCTTTCAAGAATGCATTTTCAGATATTACTCTTTATACAAGTGACTTGTGGAATTATTCCATGCATCATATACAGGCTTGAAACAAATTAATGACCTGAGACCGTAAAGTGCTATGCCTCAGATATGAAGTGAGATAGGTGGGTAGGCTGTTCTTAGTATACAGATTCAGTAAATGGACATAAAAAAAGATCTCTTTCCAATTCATATTCATGTGTTTGTTGCTAAGACAGAGGTAGATAACGTGCCATAACATTATCAGAATATTTGCAACTGCAACAAAAATTTTAAACATTGTTTTTTATTTTAGGTTCATAAAATTGAGACTAATCAAGGAATACTTTATCGATTCCAAGGTGTAGCACTGCCCAAAGGCTTTTTGGTGAGTTTAAGTGTTTACAAATGGACATTCAGTGTTGATGCATTTTGAATAATATTGTGGTGTATGAACAGATATTTTTATTATATACAGTAGTAACCTCAAATATTTTATCTAATTATGTTTTAGTTGGGTACCTTACATATCCATTTATTTTACTTCTATCTTATAATAACAGGAAATTTTAATTTCCAGCTGAATCATTTTGCATATGGAATTCTTGAGGACAGAGCAAGAAAGTTGGTAAGTAATTAGTCTTTATGCAAGTCACTCTTGATATCTCTGTGACTAAAAAGGTCTTGTAAATATTTTGTTCTGAGAGTGATTCATGGTTGTGATCTTACAGGGCGGTCCATGTAACTTGCTGTGCAGTACCACCAGTTCTTTGTACTATCCTATCACAGACATTTTTCCAGCTCTCAAATACACCCTGCAAATGAATAAAGAGTTTCATATTTGTAGGAAGGTTTCGAAAGAACCCCTATTCTTACTCTGTCCACTGTCCTGTCGGTGAGCCAACCAGGAAGTTACACGGGCTTTGCTGTGCTCTTGTGTATCAGTTTGACAGATTTTCACACAAATGATTTTTGTATGTGCCTTAAACTTGAACTTCTACATTAACATGTCAGCATTTTACAATTTTTTTTCTCCAGAATCCTGGTCGACTTCCCGGTGCACCTTCTAACATATCTGACATGTTCCAGCCAACCTCAGAAGCTATGTCTTTGTAGATATGAAGCACGGTTATCAACCACAGAACTTACATGCAAATGAGAAACTCTCTTGAAAGTAAGCATATGGTTTTCCTGTCTATAACAAATAAAACTTGTAACAATAATAAATATCTGGTCTTAGAAAATTAATTTATTGAACCAAAAGTAACATTTTGATAGTTATCCCTTTTATCTGACCTCTGACTTTTGAAATCACTGTATAAAGAGAACATTTATTTCTTAATGTTTAAGAAATTATGTAATGTTCAGGAAGAACTGCATATCGTTTAACCAATTGTTTAAGCAATTAAGAATATGCTACTGAGCAGCACAGTTGAGAATTAATCTGGTTTAAGAGATACAGGACATTTAACATTGTGCAATAACTTATTTCAAATCATGGTGGTGACGCCATCTGAAAAAAGAGAAGACCTGGTGACAGACCATGCACGTGATGGATAGATCTAGTTACAAGAGTAGATGACAAGACTGGAGTATATTACATGAAATGCAAGAATGGGTGGATATAGGCAGTTCAAGACTCCTGTGTAGAAATTACATAAGAAAAAAGAAGTCTTAATATATGATTTATGTATTTATGGTTTATTTACTGACAGTATTAGTAGCTCAGATTATAGGATAATTAATGAACAATGAATTGGAGAATGAAAGATGTAAGTGTGGCCTAATTGAGGGCATTTTCTCAGGTGCCACAGCATGGAGGAACGGAGGGAAATGAAGTTTGTAGATGGTTGGAAAGAAAAAGTCTTATTACTGAACTGAATAATAATAAATATGTAAATACAATTTTTGGCATGTTATTTAATTGAATATGCCTACTCATTATCTTGACAGGTAAGATAAAAATATATTTTAAATGTTACTACAAGGCACAAACTTTAAAATGTTGCACAGTAATATGCGGAAAATTGTAGATGCTGCCATGAAATGTTAGGTGCCATGGCAACCTGGTATCTTTGATCTGTGCTGGCCTCTTTACATACCCATTTACACGCTGAAATCGGTTATCGTTATAGACTTAAAACAGAGAAAAGTGCATGAAGAAAACCTTTGGAACTTTAGTATACTTCACTTTTCAATCTTGTTAAGTGGACTTACTTATAAATTATGCCAAAATAATACTGATAAATCAAAACAGGAAGAATGCAACTAAGAATTAAATCATGTAGTCCAGGGATTCAAAATCTGTGGCCTGACTGTGCTTTGCTCAATGCTGTATTACCCTGTATGGTGTGTTGCGCTCTGTTCCATGCTGAAACCTAAGAAGCTGCTAGTGGCATCAGCAAAAAAGCCCCATGTATAATATCTGTATTCGCTGAATTTTTAAGTGTCTCTATTGTGATACCAGAAAAATTTCTTTTTGTATGATTTGAGATTTTCACAGCGGTAACTATGAAGATTTCTTTTTACCTTACACATGTATATGTCCCTGCAGCAACCACAATGATAATCAGTAGCAGAAATCCTATGAGAAATTCCAGTACATAGATCTCATTTCCAAAATATTTAAACAGTTGGGCTGACATAGGGTCGTCCATCAGGTACACGAATGGTGCATGTGTCACTACACAGAAAATAATAACATGCAGTCAGTTGAGTTTCAGATGGTTACAATGAACTACATAGAACAAACCTATATGAAGAGAAATGTATGATGCACCCTTATTTTGATATTCCAGATATTAGTTTCATATATCTAAATGTGTTAGCAGAGCTGTTGAGTTGCCTTTAAGCCTGTTAATTAATCAATACAATATTTCATGGCTTCATATACACTGCCTGATGAAAAGTATCCGGACAAATACTAGGAGTCTTAAGGTAACTAATTATATAATTATAAGCTGAAGAAGGTTCAACATTGCAAACACCAAAGCTTGCCATTGAACTTAGATCTCTGCCATTTTAGATCCACATGACCTATTTCCCTAAGGTACATTTTACTATTACCATTCATCTTGTTCTTGGTCTTCCAGCTGGCTGCTTTCCAAGAAACTTCCCCCACCAAAAAGTAATATGTATTTCTTGTTTCCCCTATCCATGTCACATGTCCACCTCATTATAATAGATTATCCTTGTGCAAAATACTATTTCCAATGTGTGATTTAACAAACTACCACCATATTGATAGAAATCTCAGTTTGATGATACATATATTCTACCTTCAACCAGAATCCAGTTTGTGATCCATTCAAAATTGAGATGTGGCTCTCGTATGAAACACTTCCATTCTCCAGCATGTGAGGGCTTTACATGCTGAAGCTCTTCAGTGTCCACCTACAAATTTAAAATTTTAAAAAGTCAGTATCATAGTTTTGACCAACAATTACCACAATTCGGACATACTTCTGAGATATATGTTTAAATTATTGAAGTTACTAATTTCAAAGCTGTATTTTGAGGTAATTTTATAAAACAATTTTGTTACAAAACTGTGAGGTTAAAATGTTGAAACATGTACAAAACATTTATGCGTTACTGAATTCCTTTAATGTAGTCTAATTAAATTATGTTTTGAAGATTATAACAGTAATATTAAATTAACAGGATATACATAATGACATGAAACTAACAAAGGTAGTTTATCAAGAAGTAGCAGTTATTGGATAATAGAAGACCATTAGCCTTATTACAGACACAGGAAGGACATTGTAATAGAATCAATACAGACAAACTAATTACTCATAATCATCCAAACATTTATCTTACAAGACAAGCAAAATGTAAACATAGATTTCAATACTAGTGAGTAACGTCAACGTACCCTGTTCATATGGACCTGTCGTCAGACAGAACACTAAATACATAAATAAATAAATAATTTCCACTAACTGAGGAAATTTAAGAGATGTGGCTTCAAGACTGAGTTCAGACAGTATTGGTTATTATGTGGAAGTATTTTAATGTTATGTAAATCAGTTTTGCTGATGTACATTTAAAATTTTACTAGGAAACCAAAATCTTCCCAGTCTGCAAAAGAAGAAAAGTTTAATAGTCTGCTGTCAGATACAAAGAGAAGGGAAATAATTACAGGAAATGTGTTAATTTAAGAAGATCAAGACTCCTGTTCCAAGCCTACAAAGGTTCAGTTTCACTCACTGTTGCTGATGTGGTAAGTCCATAATCCTTCCACAGTACACTGTTAAATTCCCACTTCTGGGTGAGATCTTTGTATATGTAGCCAAGTACTTTGTTGTGACATGGTAGTGTTATTTGTTGATCTTCTGTTGCTGAGATTGTTGGAGTTTGAGGTTTCACAGCCAAAGATATAACATTGATGATAACACGGGACCCAGGTTCTTGGAACAGCATACATGTGTATACACCAGAGTCACGTGGATCTGTGTTGTTTATTACTGAAATAATGTAATTGAGTACTGTGTTGGATAAAGAAATAATGAGTTGCCTTTAAGATTGTAAGTAATTCTTCCAAGTAGTGTTAGCTGAGAAGTACAAACAGAATGTACTAAATAAATTCAGTTTCTGGAAATGTCTTGTGTAATTTTATAAAGTTTTTCCTTCCAAGATTCAACATTTCTCAGGCTGTGAAGAAAGTTGCATTTCATGTTTTTAAAGCTGTGAAAACCTCAAATCCTATATAAATAACATGTATACATTACCCATGTTGCCATTATCTTTTATAATGTCTCTTATTCCATCTGGGCTGACAGTCACACCATTCAAATCCCATTTAGTTACTGATGTAGGAGCCTCAGTTTGAACCCGGTCCAGAGCTTCCTGATGACACATCAACTCAACTTGCGTTCCCTGAAGTGTTTGTAAGCTTTGGTGTTCTTTTCTGAGGAGATTTTGTAAATATTCCTTTGTGTCTGAAATTATTTTTAGAAAGAAATAGCTACAAATATGCATATTAATGTCATGAAAGTAAAGTTTAGTTTTCCAAAAGGAAAATGTCAGTGGGACAACAAAGAGAATCTTTATTTTATTTAACCTTTTGACTGAATCATTTAAATGGTCAAGAGGAAAAATTGATAATTTGCTTTGTGTTCAGGGCTGAGCAAGCATATTATAAAATCTCTGTGCTTGAATAATCATTGATGACTGACAAGAAGTTAAAACAATAGATTTAGTTAAGTACCTAAATGAATATGTAATTTTAGAACCCAAAGATTTGCACAAAATAGCACTGCCACTGAAACATTCTGTGTCACTTCAATCCAATCCTTACAATCCTGACTTAAAACATTAAAGGCAAATATAGTTTACCAGAAAAAACAGTATTGGGAGTTGTGATATTAAGGCAGATATTTCATGTCTGAGTTAGTTTTTATTATCTTAGAAATGATGTTTCTGTGGAATGTTTAGTGTAGCTGTTTCATTAATAGATACAACAAAAACAAACAGTGATCTGTAATCTGATTTTGTGGTCAGATAACTAATAAAATATACAGAAAGATGATAGTTAAGTATGGTGATAATTGTATTAGCTAGAGGAAAGTTTGTGGATGGATAGAAAGATTCAAAGTAGGGGAAATCAGTATAGTTGATGACATGTATCCCAAGTGTCCATTGTCTGTAAGAGGCAGTGACATCAAGGATCACTCATCACGTCCAGAACAAACTAAGATTCTGCACTGTTGAAATTGCATCTGAAAGTGTTCTTCATATGAATAATTGGTATGAAATTCATAAAAACTAACCAGAAGCATTATTTGATATCACTGACCAATATTTTACTTCTTAGCTTCAGTTTTATTACATATGTAATATCCTACCTGGTGAGATTTCTCCACATTTGAAATTATTGCAGTCACCTTCCAGTGTGCTGTCCCCAGTACAGTCTTCACCATACACATTAGGGACAGGATTTGTACAGGTGCGTGTCTGTATTCCATCCCCACCACCACATGTGACGCTGCATGTCCAAGGACTCCACTCTGACCATCCACCATTCCTGGGCTCACCATCAATATCTGTACACAAACATTTTTATCATCTTAATCAAATAAAGTATGTGAAGCTATCTAACGTATGCTGCTAATTACAATAACAAAATGTGGGAAACCCATATTATATTGGAAGGGATTTTTAAGTGAAAAGTAGGAATGTGTCAGTTAAACTGCTTAATTCAAAATAGAAATTTTCATTTATTTTGATTAAAATAAAGTGTCTCATGAACTGACCTTCAGGATCACAGTTTGCAGACCAGGTGATTTCCCCATTCTCTGCACCCAGAGAAAACCAGTAGAATAACATTGGTTCATGGTGGTACCATTGAAGTAATGTCTCTCCATTTCTCTTCACAGAGAAGTTTGTTTCATCGTAACTATCAACAGTGTATACAATAAAATATTTTAAAGCATTTTTTCATGGAGTTTATATCCTGAATGAAAAATATGAATTAAATATATTTTCCCAGTAGTGTGATTTACATACAACTTCATATGAAAGTTGTATGTTGCAAGTTCACTTGTGTGCTTTTGTCATCAATATTAAGGTGGTAGCCGTGCAAACAGTGGGTAGACCTACTGCCATTCCTTTATTGAATTCAGTGTTATATATGGAAAACTGCCTTAATCATAGATTGAATTCAGTAGTTATGAAATTTAAACAGAAGGAATTGGACCCTGTGAGGTCTAATTTATGAAAATGTGTTGCCCTCAAAAGATTAATTTTTTGTTATATTGGTGTTTATTGTTAACTTTCAATAAAAATTGTTATTCTTTTGTATTTTGCCAAGAAACTCAAAATTTATTGCATTTTCCTTGTTGCAAGTGAGTACCAGCCACTTTCTTTCATAAACAAGAAATTTTTAAAAGAACTTATGGTATTATATTAATTTGGGTGTTTATGTTGGGAAGTTCCCAAGTGCATAGGCCTCATAGCAAATATATCTGAATTTGAGAAGTCTGTGAGGTGGAATCCTTTACCACAATGACCATAGTTCTTTGCTTATCCTGAATAAAAATACACTATTTAAGTACACACCTGATATGAAATACTGTCCACTTGTCTTTATATATCATGGGTCCATCAATCTTAGTTTTTGTTATTGTTTTCATGTCCTTCCCTGTTTGTTTGATGAAATACATTCGATTTCCAGCATCCCCTATTGACAGACCATAGTAATCTCCCAGACCTAATAAAAACAGTGTATTAAAAATAAATATAGAAATCAGGAAAATTATAAAATTCTGGGTGAAATCTTATTGAAAATAAAGTATCAAAATACTGTACTCCATTGATAAAATTAATGAAGAACAAAATGGATTCTGCAAAAGAGTATCCCATTGTGATGGTTATTTCTCTAAAAACAGCACATCACAAATTCAATTTATTATGACTTTTCCACAGGGGAAGCCAGCTGGTGACTGTATTGGAAATAACCATGATCTTTTTCCAGAGAGTCTATGAGAAATTAGTGAGTGAATATTCAGAGGGAATTTGTGGACATTTGAAGGCATTTAATGTGAGGCAGGTGTTGCTTTTCATGACCATCTTATTGTACAATCTGATGAGAAGTCTATTTTTCATCGCTTTTCAACAAATATTTGTGTATTATTAACCTGTAGGATTTGAGGTTTTCACAGTGGTGAGTATGAATATTGCTGTCTTCTGGGTTGTTGCGCCGTGTAGTATGGTCGATGTTTACCAACGTTTCAGAGGTCATGCTGCCTCCATCATCAGGACTTTGACATTCACATAAGATATTTGTGGGAAAATTATGTCCTGCTTTACACTATGGGGTAGCCAGGATAGCTTAGTCAGTATAGTGACTAGTTACAGGCTGGACGACTGGGGTTCGAGCCCTGACGGGGGCAGAGGAATTTTCTTTTTGTTCACACCGGCTCTGGGGCCTACCCAGCCTCCTGTCGAATGAATACTGGGGTCCTTTCCCGGGGTAAAGCGCAGCCGGGACGTAATGTTGACCACTTACCCCCATCTAGTGCCAAGGTCAAGAATGAGTAGGAGCTATACCTCCACTCCTCCCAAACGACCTACATGGCATGTAGTGGGACTGCTTTAGTTTTACTTTACACTGTATTGAAATAGGTATTAAAAAAAAAAAATGAAGATGGCCTCAAAAATGTAATAGGCAGTGTTGTATGGGTATTTTATGTGACTTGTAGGCATGGTTAGAACCTGTTACTATACCTGGTAGTTTAATTAGAGGAATAACAGCGACTCCAGTGCCCCGTATGTGTAGGATGAGGTTATTGTAATGACTGCCGGGTTCCTTTGACCATAACCCTAATGGAATGATCTTAGTGAAGTGGTCTGTTGATGTTTTCTCTGTGTGACATTCTGAAATCATTCACATTTAGTTGGTAGACTTGGAATGAGAAGAATTGAGAAGAAGCAAAACAAATATAATGATTGGTAGCAACAGCAGCAGTAGTAGTAGTAGTAGTAGTAGTAGTAGCAGCAGCAGCAGCAGCAGCAGCTTCTTCTTCTTCTTCCTCGAACATTTAGGTTCCGTAAAATACTGTGTGTCAGCATCTCTTCCATGAAAGAGATTGAAGAATGCAAATTGTTGCATATTTTTGAATGACATTAAACTTTACATGTATTGTCTTAACCTTTGTTATGTGGTATTTGTTTTAACTCCAGACTTAAGGGTTTAATGACACATTAGTATGGTGCAGTTGGATTGCTTGTAAGCAGTGACACAGACGATGAAGGTTAATATGACTACAGTCTGAGTGTAATGTAATATTTAACAGCAGAGATTTATAACTAATTTACTGGCCGTTCTCTTCAACCTCCATGACAATTCATCTTTCATACCATAATAGGTCACAATTAGAAACTTACCATCACATGGGAAATTGACTCCAATGGTGTGGCCTTTTACTGATTTGAAAGTGATGAACATAGGTTTGAAAATCTGATGCTTCTGCTCTTCATTTAGTGATTCACTTCCATGTTCCCAGTCTAACAGATACTTGTCCAGTCCCTGATAACCCAGTGTGATACGTCCAGTGGAAATTCTCAGCCAGAAACCTCCCCATTTTCCAATAGGAATCACGTGTGACAGGTTTCTTTCTTTCAGAAGTATTTCTTTTTTACCTAAAATTGTAATAATGTTATGAAGACAAACTGAAGAGGAATGCAAAATTGACTTACGTCAAATCATCTTTATGATTTGAAGTTTTCATGGTGATGTGATTATAGGTGGTGGTTGTTTGGGTTGTTGTGTCATGTAGTATTTTTATTGTATGCCATTGTTTTGGAGGAACACAGTGCCTTCATCTTCGGGCATGTTAGAAAGTATTTGGTTTATATGGGGCTGCTTCTTTAAAAACAGCTCTGAACCACAAGTAAATCAGTAAGAAAGAACTAATAGCTTCACCTTTTCCTGCTACATAGAAGAGTTTTATCTTCTCATTCTCATCGGCTCCAATGATGAGCTCATAATAATTGTCCCCTGTGAGAGGTCTAATCACAAAGATAATTCCATCAGGCAGGTCTGGGTCCCATTCCTTCAGCCAAAACTTCAGGCCTTCCTTCCTCCATTTGTTGCGAATGTAAATCAGACGTCCCTCTCCCACGCCACGAGTCATCAAGGTGCACTCCTCTAGCAAGGGAAGAGAACCATTTGAATACCAGGAAGTCAGTAAATATGGAAATTTTGCATTTTTCATTTTATATTTTTATGAGTATGTACTACTGCTGTTTAATCCCATATGTCCTACTTCAGAAGGGATGGTATATAGCTTTAGAATTGTATTTAAAACTACAGAAGGATAAGACTACCTGAAGATGGCCGTTGAATGCTACAGAATGTTTATTAGGCCCTTCGCTGTTGCCAGGAGTCAGACTTATTATTAGTATTAAATATCTAAAAGTCATGTTATGGAGTACAATCGTGATAATTATTTTAAAAACTTTTGGGTTCATGTATGAGGTCTCCAAACTGTGCCTGTAGGACTGATTTCATTCATGCAAGTGCTCTTTTAAAGATCTTATTTGTATTCCATTGTATAGGTACTGGATGAAACAGAAACTGTTACTTCCCATGTAACCTTGAAACTATTACAAGTGGATCTATCAGAATTACAAAACTATGTGATGAACTTTAGATTTGAACTACACTTAAAACTGGCGGAGTATTTGTCGATTTATTCTTTCATGGTTATATAACAGAAAATATATTTTCTCTTAACCAGGATTTTCAGTCTTTTAATAAATTTATCAGAACTATTTTATTAATTCATAAATAATTGTAAAGCATTCAATTTTTATATTAATAGTTTCACCTTCAGCAAATATTGCTGTTTTAGTTGTGTTCGGGACTGGCTATAATACTCAAACTTTTCATGATTCTCCTCTCTCTCTCCATGCAAATGCAAACACAGTACCTTGAACCACGGAGTAGCCCCTGTCTATTCGTAATTACCCTCTTTGTTTCATTTTATATTACAAAACTTCTACAATTACTTCATCATTGTTAAACAACGTAAGAAGGGAATATTATTTATACCTGGTTTGATACAGTCATACACGTCACAGACATCCTGTGGTACTTTTGGGTCTACCGTGTAGCACCAAGAACCTGCAATGTTACGGCTAGGGTTCCGGCAGTAGTTTCTTGCCTTTTCAACTGATCGTTCTGGATACAAAGTCACATTCATGTAGGCAGCAGCCACCTGTTTAAAAAAGTTCAGTTTATTTAGTTTCTTACAAAAGCAGGTTTTTGTCAATATATTTTCAAATTTTTAATTTTGAACATCCTATTAGATATCCTAAATTTCAATTTATTCATAGTTTCCGATAGTCAGAAAGCCGTGCTATCAGGCATAGCATGTAATTCTGGTAGATAAGCCACTGTGGACTAATGCAATTTGAAGTAAACATCATGTGCACTTTCATCTGATTCAGTAGTTATCCTGTTAAATTTGAACTTAAGAAAAGAATAAAATGTGTACCTATACGTGTTGATTAGAGGAGATGAGCTGTTGTACTTGAAGCCATGTACGTGTTTTTCAGAACATTTTAAATGAAACTATTTACAGAAACTTATAAATTCTAGGAGGTCTGAGGCATCATGCTTCAGACTGGTGATACAGAATGCGCGCTGGTTTGAGTCTCGGGGGAGTAGAAATTTTCTCATGAGATTTTCGACCGGTGTATGGGACTGGTGCCAACCCAGCATCGTGAGGAAATTGGGGAGCTACAATGGGTAGCGTAATCCGGTCATGGAAACTAGCAATGGCTGGGAGTTCATCGTGCTGACTACACGTCACTCTGTATCTGGTTGGATGATCGTTCACCTCTGCTTAGGCATGTGAACGTGAGGCCAGCACTCAAGCTAGTCGCTTTGGCTCTCTGGAGCTGTTACGCCACGGATTTAATTTTTAATTTAATAATAATTCTATAAGAAGTACTTGAAAACGTACATGCTTAGATTATATGATCATATTATTTGAATAAATAGGTCATTAACAGGTAGGAAGATATATTGAATGCATGAATGCTGATGGCATGAACGAATAAATTAAGGAATGAATTAATGAATGAAAAGCAAAATCAACTATTATTATATGAAGTTATTTTTTATTTATTCTCATTGATATTTTATTAATTCTGAGACGAAGTAATAAATTAAGGAGTGAATTAATGAATGAAAAGCGAAATCAGCTATTATTATATGAAATTATTTTTTATTTATTCTCAATGATATTTTATTAATTCTGAGACGAAGTGAATATTAAACCAATTAAACTACCATTACATGTAATAGAATAAGATCAAGTACTTGCCTGATGTGGAGTATTTTCAGTCCATTTTTGACATATTCGTTTTGATCTAGTCACATTCAACTCTCCCATATAGTCATTGCCAGTTCCTGCCATGTGGCATTCTGGGAATAAAATTAATTTGTGATTCATTATTATAACTACAGAGTTATATCATTCTTGATAGACTAAAGTTAACATTAAACTGTCATGAAATTAATAAATTTTAATAATGTACGAACTCATTGATATACTGAAACAAGGAGAGTTATTATCTTTCACGCTCATATTCTAACGTCCGCTGATTCTTTTACCTGAGGCTTGGCATTTGCGAGGATGACAATATTCCGGTCGTATCAGATTAGTAGCATTATCGTGTATGAAACAGAATGGTCCTTGTGGATCTCTGGTTGGATTACGACAGTAGTTGAGGGCAGCTACAACAGACCCATCTTCAAACAGCTGGTCATTTTTAAGGGAGCTCGTAATACTTGTTGCATATACCCAAGGAAGACACGGCTGTCCTTTTGCTGTTGTCCACTGTGACCCCGTATAGTTCGCTTTTGTCTTTGGTAGGAAGCACTCCGGAGGCAAAGCTGCAGGTACTTCGGCTGCCTCTACAAAGTAGAAGCAAAATGTTACAGATATGAGGTTTTCAAAAAAGTATTCATGGTAGGTGAGGCTGCACAGAGCCTTAACCCCAGAACTAGATGGGAGTCAATGGTCAGCTTCATGCTTTGACAACGCTACCTCTGGGGAAAGAGCCCCCATTCCTATTGTATAGTAGGCTGGGTTGGCCACAGAGCTGGCCTGAATAAGTTGTAATAAACCAATTGCAAATGTTTCAAAATTATTTGGGAACAGTACTCAGAAACTCAAATGAATTTTATGTTAAAGCCATGAAAATAATAAATTCTGTTGATGCTTGTTTTTATTTGGTTTGGAAACGTATTACCCCATAATCTTTCCTAAATTATGTAGATCAGGTTATACAAAACATTTGTTATGTCACCTATTTTGTATAGGTGTGAAATGTGGTTTCATAATTTGGTATAAGGACACAAATTGTAAGTACTTTAAAACAAAATACTTTGCAAAATATTTGTGCATAGTTTATTATAGCAAATGAACAGTTTAGGACATTGCATAACAAGAAATTCTTTGACTTATGCAGATCACCTAGTATTATCGTGATAGTAAAATCTAGGAGACCTATGGACTGGGCATGTTACTAGAAGGCTTACATAATTTTGGTAAGGATACCATTTGGAAAATGTTCAAATGGGAGAAAAGAAGATGAGAATGGCATTGAGACGGTTGTTACGTCTGTAGCTTGTGAGGAAGGAAGGTGTGGAATTCACATGATGTAAAGACTGAGCAGGTTTTATTGTTTAAGTGACACTGACGATTTAAACTAGCTCACCAGCAGGATCACATGACATGGTCCAGTGAGCGGTAGAGAGGGAGCCAGGGCTGATCCACCGCATTCTTCTTATCATCTCATGATCTGCTTGAATGATCTTTTGCGTGCCGACATTTTGTGTCCAGAACACGGACAGGCTGTCGGCAAGCACGCTGCAAACATCGAAACATCACCTCGTGTTACTTCGATTGTAAACGTGTAATTTCATAGGAATTGTTAAGAATCAGAATTGAAGCAGGTGCCTACTCAAGGAGGTGGCCCAAAGAATATGCTGTTGCGCTTTGGTTACGAAAACTCGCCACACACCCAAGACCTTGATTGTTTATTTCTGATAACTTGTTTTCTGTGCTATGGGTCGCAGAAAGGATTCAAGTGTTTCTTTATCGTCAGTTTATTTTACCGTTTTCATTTAGAAGGGATCAGAGAGAAAAATTGTTTTTAAGAAAATTGTCGATCAAGTGAAAATATTTGAATATTTAGGTTTCTGTTTGCTATTTGAGAGGCGTTTATGTTGATATGATACTAGAAGATTCCAGTGTTTCTGCGGAACTGTAAAACGAACAGTTTCTAAGGAAATGCTAAAAACAGATCATACTATGATTATTTTCAGTAAGTCGCATCTTAATCGAGGAAGTCTAGAGAAATTTGATAAGCGTGTTACCTGATGGTAAACTCTCCCCAGTCCCAGTATGACAGCAGCTTGTCAATCTTCACTGTCTGCATCACGATTTGTCTCGAGTTGGCAGTCTTTTGTAAGATAATCTGAGTCAAGTTCTTCCTACCACTCATCATTACCTAACAAGATGCAATATCGCTGTTAATTCAATAGCAGAAGCACATGAGGGCCAGTGTTATTCGTGTGGAAATACAAGCTTCAAGAGAATCATAACCAATCTCTTTCGATTCACATAATCGTTGAGGGCACCTCATTTACTATTGTCAACTATCCTTGCACGTTGATATGTGCATAGTGTCCAACGTGGACACTCCACTTGTTCACTGTCTAGCAGTTTAACAGCAAGTCAAGTAGCGAGTGAAGTGGCGAAATAAACAATGCAACTTGCATTGTGAAGCGGAGAGTCAAGTGGCGAGGAAAGCGAAGCTGTGAATTCAAACTAAACATCTCGGAACGTTCGCAATGGAAAGTTGACTAGCGCTGCTCAGCTCTGCCAAAACCTGGTCTGTCTTCTTCACTCGACACGCTTTTCCAGCTGTAATCGTCGTTCGTCATATTGACAATATTACTATCGGAATTTAAAAGCATTTTGAGTTCTTAAACAGTCGCTTCATCTAGCCTTGCTTTCAACTTCTTTGATTTCCTTTCTACACCATTAAGCTTGACATGGAGAGAAGATTTTAAATGCATGTGGAGTTAATTTAAAACTTGAATTAACAAATTTTGGAGTGAACAATCTTGATGTCTGATCACACCGAATAATAGCTAAGCCTAAGAACAAGCCAAGGCCGATAATTCGTCTTCGAAGCTATTTTAATGTTGCATGAATAGACATGAAAGAAAAGAAGGACGGAGAAACTGAACGAGGAGCATCGTTATCGGTAACCTTAACCAACTAAGATATGATAGTGAGATGGGTTTATAGTTCGCGCTGACGTAAACAATTTAGTATATTCCGAAGAGAGGGACACTCACCCAGATGGCAGGATACTTTACGGCAGGTGACACTCTGAGTTCGAGATAAGCTGAATGGGCAGCTCTCACGAAGAACATGGCATCGTGCGTAATGGTCGTTCTTACTAGAGGCCAGAAACGAATGAAGTCCAGTCTAGTCGTCGTTTGTACCTCGCATTCTAGAACCCGAAGATAATGAAAAAAATAACTTGTTCATGATGTAGGCATGTTACATTTCCAGCTTCATACGCCTGATTTCCAAATCTATTGCATTAGTGGCTAACCTTTGAGGATCATCAAAGTCCGATCTTTTTGTCTACACCATGAGTGTGGTGAAATTTCTTGCAAAAGGATAAGTCGGCCTAAAAGTATGGAAAGTACTTGAGAAAGAATAGGTACTGTAGCCTACTTTTGATATCATTTTTACTGCGTCTTTATTAACTGTCTGATTTTTGCATTTAATGTTTTATTGTTTCTCCTTGGCTTATAGTACATTTATTTTATGGAGGTCACTAAGTTTTGGCTCCGCTGGAAATATTGTTGAGACCATTCTCAGAAACTTGCCTTACAGCAGTTTATAGAGAGTTCAGCTTATAGGAACTAATTAGCCCTACTTCAGATTTTAATACAACGTTCCACTCCTGTTAATCAGTGTTAGCAGTTGCTCTTCAGTATTAATGTAGTAATTTATGTGTGTGATTAAGCAGCCTTACCTGTCTTACAAAAAGGGAAAGTCCACATGCCGCCCTCTCCAACAATACTGTAGTAATTGAAAGCCCCGGGATCACGTCCAAGCAGTCCTGCAGTCTCGTTGTACTCCGCAGTTACCATCGGCTTAGAGTCTCCTTCTGTGCCCATGGAAATGGAACCACCTCCCCATCTGATCCATATCGGCGTCCATCGCGTGCCCCAAATCAGACCTGGAGAACTTACCATTGCTGCACTCTGCACCATGGTACATGTAATATATTACATTATATTATTCAATATAATTCGTGTTATAACATTAAATTATACGTTACGTTACGTTACGTTACATGTATATTATGATATATGGTATTATATATTATTTTTAATTGCGTGACATTATTGTATGTTCTATCAAACTGATATTTTGAAAAGAATGCAGTGCAGATTTTCGAAGTTGCAAATTTCTCTTTTGGTTTAGAATTTAGACTTCAGCCGTATTCAGAAGTACTGCTGTTTTAAGACAGTTTGGTAAACGTTTTTCAGACATGGTACAAAATTAATGTCACTGAAGAAAATACCACCTTCTCACTTACGGAGTTCTTCGTGATGAAGGCAGAATCTGATGCTATCTTGATGATATCCAGTAAAATTATAATGTTTGTTAAATTATTATGAAATTAGGGACTATGAAGGTTTTACTATTACATGATATTAATTTTTAGACATTATTTTCTCGTATCGGAAGCCTACAGGCCTATATTTTTAATCGTAATAAATATAAGAAACCATGGTTGGTAGCGTGCAGAAGTCGGCGGAAATGTTCATGAAATTATTGCAGCAAAAAAATTAAATTTAAAGTAAAAATTGTTATTATTGAATTCGTCTTTAATTTTGAGATATTTTATCACCTAGTTGTTGTATAATAAACCCTACTAAACAAACTGGCTTATATTTAGGTGCATACATAAAGCGACGTGCCTTAGTGTCCAGTCTGAGGATATTTGATGAAATACAAGGAAAGAAATTTCACGTCTGTGTTGTGTGATATATGGAGTGCGAAATCGCATTTAACACATTTGGAAACATGTGATGGGTACTCTCGTTCACTCTTGTTTTATTTTGCATGGAACTTTAAAAATTGTTAGCCCTTAAACTTTGTTTCAAATCCAAAAACTGAATATATAAGTGTTCTTTTAGATCTTCTAAGAACTGTGGAATAGCCAGCACAGTTCCAGCCCAATCCTCCGTCACCCGTGACAGTCCGTCACAGTGACAGACAGAATCGTGATGGAAGGCGTGCAGGACATGCATTCTCGCATGTGAAGGCAGGCAGACGATAATGCCATACCCTTACCTCTCCTCCCGCTACAATGCCAGATTTCGTGTTAGATAAGATGAGTTCGACGCCCGCTTGCCACTCCTGAAGTTGCGACCCAGAGGACGGTATGGATAGCTTGCTGAGTGCCAGGTTCAACGTCACGCGGGACCAGTCTTCCGGGCGCCATAACTTCACGGCGAGGCTGATGTTGCGGTTCGTGGTGTTTAGCGCTGTCCAATGCGAGTGAACTACTTCGTCAGCAACTCCCGTCGTGTAAACCATGCAGTCTGAACAGTGGTATCGTCCTATTAGTAGCTAGTTTCTTTAAAACCCCGTTAACAAACTGTCTAGTGGAAATCTCTTCATATAAATTTCTGTTATAATTATATATACATTTATTTATTTATTTATATTCTTTCTCCCACATCCTTTCATATCCGTTTCAACGTCGGAATACAATGATAAAAATCACGCACATGTAATTTCCTGTGTATGGTAGTCCTATGTACACGTTTACACACTGTCTATTCCCTTCGGATCTTGTGACTAAAATGTTGTGTGTTTTTCTAAACTCTCCCATTAATGCTGCAAATTCTTGTGATTTGATCATCTTAAGGGTAGGCCTGTTGTTATTGCCCTTGTCTTCAAACCAAATACACTGTCCACTTTTTTGTTTGATTACATTCCTATTTCTTTCTCCCACATTCTTTCATATCCGTTTCAACGTCGGAATACAATGATAAAAATCACGCACATGTAATTTCCTGTGTATGGTAGTCCTATGTACACGTTTACACACTGTCTATTCCCTTCGGATCTTGTGACTAAAATGTTGTGTGTTTTTCTAAACTCTCCCATTAATGCTGCAAATTCTTGTGATTTGATCATCTTAAGGGTAGGCCTGTTGTTATTGCCCTTGTCTTCAAACCAAATACACTGTCCACTTTTTTGTTTGATTACATTCCTATTTATTTCAATCATAATTTGTAATTTACCTTTTTCATCACAGAAGGGAATATCACAATAATCCCTTTCCACTGCCTCCTCTTCCTCTTCTTCTTCTTCCTCTTCTTCTTCTTCTTCCTCTTCTTCAGCACTTTCACGATCGCCGTCGTCTTCGTCCTCGTCTTCCTCGTGCTCGTTTTCAGGCGGCTCCACGTAACACCACGGTCCTCCCGGGTCTCCGTCGGGGTTGCGACATCGATTTTTGGCCCGTCTGAGTGCTCCTTCAGGATAGGCATCGTTGGGGAAATGGAGAGACTCTTCTGTATCCTTCTTCATGTGGCTGTGAGCCCATGACAAACATTCCCGTCCAGTTGCTGATAGCTTCACTTTGCCGGCATACTCAACCCCGGATCCAGTCAGCCGGCACTCTGTGAACAGTGGATTGGAGACGCGAGTGATACCGGAATCGCCGACACCAGGAACATGGTGACGGTCAGAAACACACAACAACATTGGTATTATTTGTGCCAACATCTTATTTTTTCACTGTTCTTCTGCAGCTGCGTGTTTTGAACGCTGTTTATCACCTACAAACTTCTTGCGCGTATATTACAGAGTACAGTTTTAATTTCTAATAATTTTTAGTTTAAATTTGGCATTTAGAAAACTTTATGCTTGATATAACAGTTTTAAGAAATTCAAGTATACAGTGTGGTGGGAACTTGAAAAAATGAATGCGTTAGTAAGAAATTGTGATAAAGGCCGAGGAAGATGATATTTGTAAGGGATAGAAAAGAATTGCGGGAAGAAGAAAGAATGAAGGTAGAAAGGGATAAAGGAAAGGTCGAAAGAGGGTGATGGATTAAGACACGAAATAAGTCATTCCCCAGTGAATTACAATAGACCTCATCCACTGATTAGTTTAAAATGTGTCATTAAAAGTTGCTATATTAGGAATGTGAAGATTCATGCAAAAGGACAGGACTTCTTACCGCGATATATGCACAGAGGTACTTCACAGTAATCGTCTATGATCTTATTGTTCAGCGTGTAGCACCACGGTTTATCACGTTCTCCTCCTGGGTTCCTACACCAGTTCTTCGCTAGACTCTTCGATCCATCTGGGAACAGCTTATCCGTGATGCTTTGCGAAACCTGTTTTTAAAATATTAATTGAAGTTAATTCTGGCATGAATTTTTCAAAACTGTATGGTGTAGTCATGGTAACAAGGAATTGTGAAAATAAAATGTAACAAATTCCTTTATACGAGGGGAAGTTTAAACGTGATGTAAATCTTAGTTTACCTCAAAGGTAATGTTAACCTCGTTCATTATGGTGATATGTAGACAATATTTCAACCATTCGTAATTTGCAACATAAATATCTGTAACATAAAATGTTGACAGTGGAACCACGGTTCCCTAGTTAACGTTGAATAACGTTTAACTGTAGAAGTATATTTGTACTGAAATAAAATTTTATTTACACTTTAATGTATACCTTTACATCTTATCTATACGTGACGTCATCCGCCGACAGCTTATCTATGTGTTGCGTCATGTACTCAACACACTCACTCTAGAACCGTTCTTTGTTACCAAATAAATGGCCAAAACTCCTAAACCGTAAGAGTTAGCTCAAATCTGTTTGCAAATTTGAAAAGCTCGTGTTTATTTACGTATTTCAGTCGCAATATGTCCCGATCTAACTCTTACGCCTTAGACGTGGCAAGCGGTTGAAGTTAAGGAACGGGGGTATAGTTATTAAATGTTTTGGGTAATTATTTCAACAATGTGTAAAATATGCATTATAGAATAAATTAAACATCATGTAGAAAAAGCCCTTTATTTACTCTTTAATTTACATATAGGTTTATATTCTCTATCTTACATAGGTCTCGAGTTATTGGCGTTTGAAGAAGTTACGCACCAGCGTTACCTTACATCTTACAGTTTCCGTCGAGTGTACCGTGATTTTATAAACGTTATTCAACGTTAAAATAAGAATACAATATACCTTCGGACTTATCTGTCAGCCAATTTACCTCATGTGTGGGATATTTCGTGTCCCAGAATTGACAGCGAATCCCCGAGACAGTCTTGGACATGTGCCCCGTGTACTCAGTCCCAGCGTGAGTAACTCTGCATTTGCGCACGTCCGTGAGGTTTATTTCTGAAAATGTTCAGCCGAAGTGGTGGTATGTTTATGTCTATTAAGTAAGATTCTTGAAGTATACGAAATTAACTGAACATATTTTGTATTGATATCACATTAAACACTTAGAGGCAGGAAGTACAGGATGGTGGAGCTAATTACTTAATGAAGAGCTTTACCCGTTAAATCAAATATTATTAGTTATCACATCAAGGACATGAGATTGGCTGTACATGTATCACGCATGAGGAATAGGAGACCTAAGCATTTCTGGTGGGGTAATATTAAAATATATTTTAAAGAAATGGGCTGTGAGGGTGTGGACTGCTTTATGATAAGGTCCAATTGCGGGCTCTTGTGTTATATTAATATGGCTTGTTTTAGTGGGTTCATTACGCATTGTCTGTTTGCGTTTATACTGAATATTATTTTCTGGGTTTAGTTTAATTCACTACTATGTCTGTAATTATATTAAAAGGATATATTTACGTTATGTATTATACAATTTAAAATATTTATATGCACAATTCTAACACAACAACAGTGTCTCAGTATTGGTTAACAAGAAATGAGGAGGCATAGGGATAACTTGGGAAACTGTTTAGTCTAATTCGTGAAGAAAAGAAGTTGATAATAATGATTTATTTTCGGCTTATTAGATTAAACCCCTTACCGCTACCACCAAATTTCAATAGACCCAATAAACTTAATGTTAATCTTAAATTATGTAAATTCTGATAGCTCTGTAAATCATACTTCCCAATACGATATCAGAGATTGAATGGACTTTTCATGGTTCAACGATTCTATATCAGCTGCTGTAGTTGTACAGTCAATTTTGACGTTTCGTTGACTGGATACTGAAATTACACTTCAATAAAATTTAATCACACGATCTCCAGTCTAATGAAAACGATTAATAATAAAACGAGATTGTGTGCTTATATTCTTGGGTGATACAGCATTTTGTAGTTTTAGGTAGGTTCCGAAACAAAGCCGTTTCACAGGAATTTAAAAACTGTTTTGTGAGATAAAAACTT